TKTTTTTTGCGAACAAGCTGTTTACCAATCTTGATCATTCAGATGCGATTTTTGAAATATCAACGCACAAACTAAAACAAATACAAAGTGTTACCTGCAGGGAGTCGTCAGCACAGGCAGAGTTCAAATGACTTAATGCTTAGGGTGTTGGCACATAAATTGCTTGGTTCAATTAGTGACTAAAATATTTACTTAACAATGAGAACGATGCAACTTTAAAGAACGGGTTCAATATCAATAAAATAGATATCGCATTTTGTTTGTGTCACGACATAATTCTTCTGAAAATTGACAATCCTGATCCCAAAAATGAGTCAATTTCTGATATCTGGCCTAAATGGCTTCATTATGACAAGTTTTGCCTTCGTGCAACCTCAAACAAAGCCCTAGTCTCTAACTCAATCGATTCTTTGCGCTATTGTTTTCTTAATCTAAGAAATGTTTTTATAAAGAGGTACGTGACTTTGGCCGGGAATTCTTTCCTTCGTAATCTACTGACTCACTCCTTCCGATTGCATGTTTTCGTATCGCAACACTTAATGTGAACATCGAGTGACCTTTCCACCATAACTGTGTAAAGAATTGAGATTTGAAGAGAGTAACGTCCAATATCATGCAAATGTAGTAACCTTCACGGCCAAACTAATGAATAAAAAGAAGGGCTTAAGAATGTAAAGACACTATATTCTGTCTCTAAAACAAAATCTTTTTTGAGTAGATTCTCTTTGTTTATCAGCCATCCTCACAAGGTGGGACTTTGTGAACTTTGCTTAATACATCAATGTCACTGCTCAAAACAAAGATGTACTCAAATCCCTTACTCATTGTTGCAAAGAGGGCATTCTTCTATAGTAGTCTCCGATTTAATTCATTACTCTGCTCGAGTAAAGAATCCTTAATTTATTTTGAAGTTTAAGCAAGGATCCCACTTTCGAGCGACTATAAAAAAAACTCTTGATGAACACTCTATCGGTGAGGTCATTGTCCTTTAACGTGAAATGGCTTTAACCATGCATTTAGACTGAACTGCGTTCAGGGCGACTGATGTTAGTATTAAGTGAGAAGAGCACAAAAAGATGGGTTTTGTACGGAAAGACAAAGTCCGAACAATATTCCACTCGGCTAAAGCTCATTTCGTGCCAGCACTAATTTTTCATCTCCTCCAGGTGATCTGTGACGTCATTGCGAGGGCCTGGGGAAAGAAATTTTAATGCCGTATCCCATGAACCAACGTGCGCACAAATTCAATCTGTTTTCAAATCATGGCAGCCGGTGGGCGTCATGCGAGGTCGATGTAGCTAAACACTTTAGCACCTTAACATTTCTTTGTCACAAACTTTCCCGCATGGCGGCCGACCGGCCACCATGCTTCGAAGACAGATTGAATTGGTGCGCGCGTTGGTTTATGGGATACGGCATTAAAATTTCTTTCCTCAGGCCCCCGCAATGACCTCACAGATCACCTGGCTTCTTTCTCTTCGGCTAATGCTTTCCATCAGAGTGGTCCTTAGTACACTATGAGGAGGAACTCCACTAGTTTCAGATCGGCCATTTATCGTTCCTCGCGTAAAGGAAAAAGCAAAGCTGCGAAACACAGTCTTAAAGAGACAAAAAGAAGTTCTTAAAGTCTTCATCGTGTGCTCTCACTAATTTATAATTCTATAACAAAATGACCACGGTAAGCAGCAGTATGAACATCTTTGCAATGAAACCACAGAACGCCTGCCATTAGTCAACTTTTTATTGCGGGGAAGGGCTGTTCACCTGCAGTTCAAACTTCCGGTCCACCATTTTTGTTTGTATCGTGTGATCATAGTTTGGCGCGAAAATGCCCCCTGACCAGCATACGGGCATCTAATTTCTCGATCGACAATAAAATTCTCCAGGGACCCAAAAAATTATCGATCAACAAAAAAATTCTCGACTTGTAGAGATATCGTTCAATCGATGAAAAATCGATTTTTTTCTCGTCAGACAGAATTATTTCTCGATTTAGGAAAAATATTTCTCCATCATCAAAAATATTTCTGGACCATCGGAAGTTTCTCGACAGACAAAATGATTTCTCAGCCAACAAAAGATTTCTCCACCACTTTTGTCCAGTATGGCTTTCCATAGTTCTACTCAGTTTTAGAGTGACTCGTCCACTCATATACACAACAACTTAAATAAGAAATGGCTATACCTAGGACGCTTCGTATTTTTACATTTGCGGCCATAACTTTCATGGTGGCGTCGTCACGTGTTTGTTAGTCTAAACTACCAGAGTAACTGTACGTGGAGAGGTGCATGCAGTTCAACCATTGCTAACTCTTTTAACTCGTAAGTTCTTATGCTTTGTTTGGTCCCAACTAGCTGCTGCAAATGCCCTCCTA